GAGTATAATTGTATTTTTGACCCCTGACTGTACAATCAAAAACACAGATTTTTCAGAATTTTAATTGAAGTGTTTTTATATGTAAGATCAAAGACAATATGCAATTAGTGGATGCTGGGCATACATCCAGCCTTCGAGTTTAAACTATGAGCTTCTAAACTAGACCAAGAAATTGCAAACTTTTTCCTTATACCGCTAGGGACGCACGCGGCTCCGCCCGCTTGGATGTCGGTTTTCAACTTTTTCTCTTTAATTTTCTTTACGTACAAACCTTCTCTGGACGTCCACGAATAATTCCAGACCAAAATTGGCCAAATCGGTAAAGACATTGCTGAGTTATAACATTACAACGAAAAATTGCATTTATTTTTATGTATACAGATGAAACGGTAGGTCAATTTTATTTAGATTTAGCAAAGATATCTACGTGTAAACCTAGGTCAAGCATCAATATTCAATTAAGTACAAATAAAAAAAACAATTATTATTTACCTCCCTAATTTTCAAGTTTATGTATAGCCAATGGCTAAATTAAAAAAATCTTTAAAGGAAGCCAAAGAACGGTGATATTTTTAATAAAAGAATCAAAATCCAATCATGTTGAAATTCTTAATCCCCAAAGCAGCTTTTTGAAAAAAACGTGATCTTTTCACGTCTATAAATTTAAGCTGATTACACGAATTCAAGACATCATTTTGAAATTGAGGTTTAAGGACATCTGCAATGAAACTAAATGTAAAATCTTACTTAAAATATAATAAAATCATAATTCTAATGACACAGTCGCTTTCCCTGTGCCTATATCTCTTTTCCTCGCGTCGGTTTCCTCAGTGCTAAGGGTCCGTCACCGCCATCCATTACTATCTGCCGCCGAGCTGAGAGTGGTGCGAATCTGACCCGAGACCCGTCCAACGTATCGGACTTCTGCCTCTAGGTCTCTTTCCTTCCACTTCACTAGTGATCAGCCTACATGTATGCTTAAATCTTTCAAACTGCTGAACGAATTTTGATACGGGTATTTTAATAGATAGTGTGATTATTAACAAAGGTTTAATATACCTACATAATAACATCCATTAAACACACAACACATAAAGAAACTTAGTGTAAGCATTACACCCTTACGAAGTCGGGTACGAAGGTATATCGCATCTTAGTCAGCTAATCAAATCATCGTGAACAGGTTCAACTTACGTCTTGAAGCCTACACAATATAATATTACACAAAGTGCTATTACAGCGATATAGATCTGTCCAAATAACAGCAGAGCATGTTACATTAAGAGAAACACGTATCTATCTCAATTAATTGGCCACTAATTAATAGACGGGGTCGTTGACTTCAGTAATGTATAATTCTGTTTTATGACGATTGTGATGTATTATTAACTAGCGAGCCTTTTTCACTTTTTTCATGTAGTAGGTCGGCAAACGTGCAGACGGATTACCTGATGGTAAGCAATCAGCGCCGCCCATGGACACTCGCAACAACAGAAGACTTACGAGTAACAGACTTACTTGCCGACTTACTTGCCGACCTCTTGGGGATTAGGGATTTGGGGATTAGGGATTTGGGAGATTTAGAGATTGGGGAGGGGAAGGATTGGGCTTCCGGTAACCTCACTCACACAGAAAAAAAACACAACGATGTATTTGTTTCACGCCGGTTTTGTGTGAGGCCGTGGTATTACTCAAGTCGAGCCGACCCATTCGTGCCGAAGCATGGCTCTCCCGTTATTTTCAATAAAAATATGCTTCCCGATGGTCTAATTGAAATAATTATTCAATTTGTTTGTCAAGCAGCCCATTTTAGCATTAATTTAGTTAGGTATAATAATAATAGTGTCCTACATAATCGATACTTTGATCATTTTACGATATTATGAGTTACACGTGTAGTTATTGAATATAATATTAATTCAATGTTATGCTAAAGAGAATATTAATCAACTGTGATTGTATATTCCTGTTTACGTCGCTACAATGACAACCTACATTGTCTTTGGTTCGATGCTTGAAAGACAAATTTGCGGTTGTCACAACTGGCTGCCTTGCAACGTGTCCTCGTTTGATTCCCACACGGAACAACTCTTTGTGTGATCCACAAATTGTTGTTCTGTGTGTGATGTGTATGTGACATTGTATATTTGAAAACGATTCCACGTACAAGCTAAAATCCTAGTGTGGGTCAACGTTTAAAAAAATAATACTTGGGCAACCAAAAAAAAAATGCGTTTGTCAAGCGCGATATGATTGTTCGAGGAACGTTCTACTAGTTTCAAGCTACACGGGGACTCTTATTAATGCGTAGCGTGTGCAACTAACTGTACTCTGTTTGTTGACTGCAAGAAACATAAGTCGGAAAAAGTAACATTTGTACTTGCCAGGTTTTGAACAGGCACCTTTGTGCTCGAGATAAGAGCTTAACCTTCAAGGCTTCACCTTCAAGACGATGACAGTTATCACACAAAAACAAACAAAGTCATTGACCGATTGAAGCCGAAATCAAGTCGTAAAATGATAAAATATCCATATATTTTCTTTGAAGTCAGTAATTTTGATTCACTCTTATAATTAAGGAGTCCATTGAAATTAATCATTTTTATAAAGAAATATTATACTCATTTATAAGCCTATATCATCTCAAAAACAAAGAAAAAATAATAAATTTATTTATCATCTCCAAAATAATAATATTAATAAGAGCCCTAGTCTATTGAAAAGATAAGATTCTAAGTGTGGGAGAGCCGAAGCTTCGGCATGAATGGATCAGCTCGACCGGAGTGATACCACAGCCTTACACAAAACCGGCGTGAAACAACCACATCATTGTATTTCACCGTATAAATGAGGTTACCAGGGGCCTAATCTTTCCTCTCCTTCTCGGATCGTTAGAGAGAGATGGTAATCCCTCTCTAACTGCCCAATCCCTAAATCTCCAAAAGATCGGCAACGCACTCGTAACGGGCCGGGCCCGATAGCTATGAAAAATGTTTTTAAAAAAGAAAAAGAAACATTGTTATTTCTTATTAAAAACACATACAAATATAAAATACCCGCGAAAATTTGTCAAAGGATAAAAATACTGAGTTCATTGACACTCCATTAAAACGTCACAGTATATTTATGTCCCCAATAACGAGTTCTTATTTCGTATTTTTTCAACCAATTTCGGGTAAAATGAACCCCTAACGATGTGATATGAAATATTTATTTTTTATTGCAAGAATTTTTTAGTATGGCAACATGAAAATTATTCCTGGTAGGGGGATGTGTGCCAATAACTGTTACATGTTTTCAATGGTGAAGGATGCAACGCTAGCTATTATTATAGGGGTATTAATTTACACTTGTCATTAGGTTCGTAACAACTGCTCAATAATATAATACCTAGTTTTTTTCAAACAGTCAAAATCTGTAGTTTCCTGTGTATTTTTGTAGGTGATTTTATATTTGTATGCATCAAATAGCTATCTCATATTTTTGTTTCCGGTCTAAGTGTGATGTGTATGTGAAATTGTGTCTGTTAATGCACACACGAAACTGGAAGGAATCTTAGTGTGGGGCAATTTTTCATCTCAAAAATAAAGTGAAACTATTGAATAAAACATACACTCACTTGAAAAACCTAACCCTCATTGCGGTATAGTTTGGAAAAAACTGATCATCGATAAAATCAATGTATTTTTTTAAGTACAGGAAGGTACATCAAACAATATTATTAATATAATATTGTCGATACGACAACAAAGACAGAATGTATTATCAACTACGCATAATAAATAAATACCACATAATAAACATCTAACACCTGCAGTAATTCCACGTTTTGCAGCTAATGTAATTAATTTATACACTAGCTACTCTCGCGCGGTTTCACCCGTTGCTCGGTTCCACTTGATCGTAGCGTGATGTTTTATAGCCTATAGCACTCAGGAACATTGTAGCTACACATCTATCAGTGAAAGAATTTACCCCCACATACAAACTTACAAATTCTACCTCTTTATAATATTATAGTATAGATTAATATTGTGATGACAAACTAAGCAGAATGGACAATACACAAAAAAATACATATTAAAAAGTGTGAGAGAGCCAAGCTTCGGTACGAATAGGTCAGTTCGATCGAAATGATACCACGGCCTCACAGAAAACCGGCGTGAAACAGCCACGATGTTGTGTTTCGCCGCGTGAGCACGGTTACCGTAGGCCGCATCCTTCCCCTACCTTACTACATAATTCCTTATTCTCCAAACCCATAATCCCCCAAAGGTCGGCAACGTACTCCTAACTCCTTTTGTTGCGAGTGCCCAAGGGTGGCGCTGATTGCTTTCCATCAAGTAATCTGATAAAAAGACTTCCGTTTTTTTTGCCATTTGGTAATGGAACTCTAAAAATGATCAGATTTTTAAGACACAAGTCGCAATTATAACGTTTCCATATTGTTTTTTTTAATGTTACAGAATCAGAACATTTATTTGTAAACATAGGTATATGAAGTGTTACAGATAGATAGATTCTCCATATTTTGCGCAAAGGCATACAAATATTATATACCTACAATTAAAATTATATATTACTGAAGATTGCGATTTTTCCTGTGTCATGTCTGCGTTTAATTTAGCATCCAATTTCACACACACATCACACTTAGATGCGGAATAACCATTTTTGGATCACACAAAGAATCCTTGACTTATTATGAGGCAGCTGGTTGTTTAGCCACGACGCCAATCGACCAATTAATACTAAAACACTGGAAGTAAAATAAACAAAATCATTCCTAGAATAACAGCCATCATAATATAGGCGTTTCTAAAACCCGCTTTACAACAATGTATCCATACCTTAACTAAAGCCATCCTAAGTCGCAGAACCCCCATTACCATAATCATTATGCAAAAATGTACAACCGACAACATACCTTATGTAACTAATTATATAAATGATTATTCAATGAACGATATGAATATTAATGTTTTGTTTTTTTATTGCAGTTTGGCTGTGAAACAACAAAGTGAATACGGTGAGTCGTTTTAAATTATTTATTTATGAAGTAAACTTATAGTCAACTGTCGTAGCTGGGCAACTGGCTGCCGCGTAACGTATCGCGGATTCAAATCCCGCACGGAACAACACTTTGTGTGATAAACAGATTGTTGTTCCGGGTCTGGGTGTGATGTGTATTTGAGATTGTATGTTTGTAAACGCACCCACAACACGGGAGAAAATTCTGGTGTAGAGCAACGCTTAAAAAAACAGAAATGCAATATTATTTCCTTGATCGTCCTTCTTTAAACACCTGTGCAGTATGTACTTATTTCGGTTTTTTATTTTAACAAATAATCAGTTTTTTTTAAAGAAATATACAAAAAACATATTGTAAACGTCGCGGGCCACCTGATGGTAAGCGATCGGCACCGCCAAGTCCGGTTGCCGGTCTCATTGAGTTTGTTAGGCGTCTGAGGAAGGGGGAGGGATTTGGGGATAGGCTTCTAGTATCCACACTCGGATGAAAGCACAATCTTGCATTGAATTTGTGTTACAATAAATGTAACCTTAGTACGGAGACATTCTTTCACTCACATTTGCTTCATAATATTCTACGCCAGCCGAGAAGAAAAAGGTTTATTATAATGACGATACATAATATGATAATTAATATTTTTTATAGGAATCAACTTCATTCCAAGTGTGGGAGGATCACATAACAATATGGTAGTCGTAAGAATATTTTATCGATTCTCTTCCGTAAATAAAGTACATCAGTAATTGATTTATTTATTCAAATATTACAGCATCAATATGGGTAGGTACTAGTACAGGAATGTAGTTTATGTAAATTTGAATTGCTAGTTGTCATTATTGTAGATAGAAATTACAAGCTTTGTTAGGAGAGCCACTAATGTACCGTGGCCTGGAGCAGGAGTAAGAATGGGTTGGTTTTTAGTCAGTAAGAGTCTGACACTCCGTTTTACCTCACCCGGGGCGAGAGGAGTCAGTTGATGACTGTCTCCACTCAAAAAAAGACTTTGTAACGAGCCTTAATCCTTTATAGGTTATTAATAATAGGTTTAGCAGTAGGTACATATGGAGTTTCTTGCTCGTTCTTCTCCATTCGAATCTACAATTTGGAATGAGCACCTAGCTTCACTGAAGAACAGACTGACAGTCTACTATTCAATTTTGACGTTTCAAAAGTACCTATTTAGGGTATAGTTGGAATAAATGATTTTGACTTTGACTTTTATATCTTGTCACCAATTTTATAATGAGTAACTAATACTATGTTTCATTATTTAAGTATTAGTGCGACTGTCAACCTTCCCCGGTTTCAATTCCCGTTTTCTCAATTATTCTAGTAAAAGCTCGAAATAATACCCTTTACTTACTCGTACTATACTGCCTTACTTTTACTGAGTTGTACCCCTATCTTATAATACCAGGGACGATATTTCTATCACAAATATATTTCTGTCAACATCATCCATCCATTCAGAAAAGTATAATAAGAATGATATCATATTTTTACCCAATATCACAAAAATACAATACATAATAAACCTTGTTAACAAGCCTTAGTAATACTTAATACCAATAAGTATTTATATGTGAGCCTCTAATTACACAATACACGACCTCCTTACTGACATTGACAATCTGTCATACGTAATATGTCATAATTCGTAAAGGCCACACATTGTTGTCATACAAAAAAAAACATTTACATATTTTATTTTTCTCGGCTGTTAACACCTTCTTGTTCTATTTTTAAATAAGTATGAAGTGTGGTTTTTGAATTTGAATTGAATTTGGAAATGGTACTAGGTCGTGGTTTTGAGAGTCAAGGGAAATTCTTGTAGTTTAGTTTAAATGACATTTACCAAAATAGAAGCTGTGGAAGACACATCCTTGGCTACACAGTTATCTAAGTGACTAGTGCAAATTTGATTTACGTTAACGCGACCGCCATGTTTATGACGTTTGGCGATCTGATTGGTCTACTCCAATTTAACCAATCAGGAGGCTTAAAGCCGTAACCTTTCTTTCGCATCCTCACTAGGTATTTCTTATGAGCGCCTAGCTTCACTGACGAACAGACTGACAGACTACTATTCTATTTTGACGTTTCAAAAGTACCTATTTATGGTTTAGTGTGAATAAATTATTTGATAATCGAGTCGATCAAGAAAACCTTTGGCTGCCGACAGAAAATTGTTAAACACAAATCCATCCTTGGTGGTGGCATATACCACGCTCTGATTGTTAGTTTTGCATGTCGATAAAATTCTTCATATGCAATCGATACAAGTAGTTTATGTTAGCTACATAAATTCCTTAACACTAACAAGTTTCCTCTTGACAGGCTAGTTTGAGTTCAAAAGGCTAAGGTTTATCAGAGCTCTGCTAAGTGCGTTATGTATTCATCTCTTAATATACCCACGTCAAGAATGAGTTAAATGTAACTAACTTGGCGGCATGGCCAGCTCAGTGACTGAGCAACTGGCTACTGTGTTACGTGTTACGGGTTCGATTCCCGTAAGGAACGACAATCTTTCGGCTCTGAATGGTTTGTGTATATTTGTAAACGCAAGCACAACACAGGAGAACATAAAACTGTGGAGCCACTTACTTATTAAAAAAAGCTATCACCACGGACCAATATGTCTCGAAAACAATCCTAGTGTTTTTATTTTTTATTTTGTCTCCTTTCCTCATTGTCGGTCGAGGAGTTTTCTTCAGTGTAACCTTGACAAGTCAATCAAAGGTGACAAGCAATTAGCCCATTATGGACAAAGATGTCAGTCACACACTATTATAGCCACAGGAATTAGTATTTCCTTCAAGAACGCCATCTTTATTCAAGTTAAGGGCGCGTCAAGAAGAGAATTTAGTATTTTTATTAAATCACAGTCAGTTTACTTATGTTTCACAAACATTCGTGAAAATACTAATTTTGATGAAACTTTCATCAGATTTCAGTTTCTTGTCGTCATCAAAACTGGGATTCTTCTCCTTCTTTTTTACTCTAAATTATTAAGCGTTATATATAAAAATTAATGCCACTATTTGTTGTAATGTTTTAACTCAACAATGCCTTTACCGATTTAACTAATTTTGGTCTTGAATTATTCGTGGAAGTCCAGAGAAGATCCACCATTTCATTATACATTTGATGGTTTTTTACCCACTCAAAAAAAGAGGAGTAAGTTCCTTAAACGCATTCTTCCGCAATGATTGTATGGATTATGTCAGTAAGAGTCTGGCATTTCCTTGCACCAAACTCAGGATTGGAGTAGACATTGAATGATTTTCTTCTTCAGAAAATCCTCTTAGTCAGATACTGTGTTCATTAATTATATAACATTTTGCCTATTATCCGAACCTCCCATCTTGAACATACCTTTACAACAACATCCAAGTTAATATAATGCATAACAAGAATGAGGGTCGACCGGTGTTTGAAGACGAGCTGCTAACCTTAGCACAGATATATAAGCCTGTCACAATCTGCATATACATACTTCATAGATTTGTTTATAACCCACAATGGCGGATAGAATTAGGTATATATGTAGGTTTATTATGTATTTTATTGTTTTGGTTATGTAATAATAAGTACACAATGACATATATCACAGTTCACGCGGAGGTTGGGCAACTGGCAGCAGCCAAAATGTTGCGGGTTCGATTCCCGCAAGGGACTCCTTAAGGGACCGTAAGCAATCGGTGCCGCCTTTGGACACCAGTAACTCCAGAGGAGCTGCAAGTGCGTTGCCGGGCTTTTGGGGATAAGGGATTTTGGAGATTTGAGGATTGGGCCTCTAGAAACTGTCACTCACAAGGGGAAAACAAAATAAGTCATGTTTCACGCCGGTATTCTGTGAGACCGTACCGACCGGTATCACTCCGGTCGATCCAGTCAATTCATGCCGAAGCATGACTCTCCCACAATTCAATTATAATCTTATTCTTACAACGAATTTTTTTTTTCTTAGAACCGGTACCAACCGATATCTGTTTTGATTCTATCAACCTATTCAAAGGTCACGTTAACCTCTGCAGTGTCATTGACCTTTCCGTCATTTCAATATTGACCTCTAATACTAGGTGTTAAGTATCAACTATTATCCAATATAACTTGTTTCTTTTTTTTTAATTGTTTATTTTGTTACGAATGTTTTGATTTCTATTTTAGTATTTTTTAAAGAAGTTTTAGTGCTTTTTTTATTTGTTTACTCGCCTATAATACTTTGAAATGGGTACTAAAATATTATGATTAAACAAAAGCATTTAAAAATGTATTTGAATATTGTATTTTTTATCTGTAATATTCTTCTGACACATAGACTTCTTTTCATGAAGGGAAGTAATCAAATGACTTCTACCGCCCAGGGTAAGGCGAGAGGGAGTGTCAGACTCTTACTGACTTAAAACACCCCTGTTCCTTCTCCTGCTTTAGGCCGAGGCAGCGTTGCTTTATTGCAGTTATCCCTGAACCCTGGGTGATAACAATAAGACCTGGATCTTAGTAAACTTAAGTTTTACGAGTATATTACAGTACACAGTCGGGCAGCACACTGCACCACATTTACATTGTCAATGGTCTACAGGATATCGAACGCGAAATTAATTTATAACAGACAATGACGGGAGTTATAGTGACGTACTAATTAGTGATACTAATTAGTTGTTACAACAATATACTTACTTACCGCAAATTCGTAAAACAATATATAATTAAGCGGGTATTAACGCGAAAATTAATTATTTAAATACCTTGACTGACACTATATCTCCAAAATTTTGTTTGACGTTCAATAGTGCCTGTAACGGTCTAATTGAAATAAATGATTTTTGACTTTTGACTTGGTAGTCTTGACATTTCGGCCTGGTGGCACAGGTCGTGGTCGTAAGCACATCAGCCCTATAATAAGGCTGATGTTCAGCCGGGGTTGCGGGGGGTGCAATGAGGCACCGCGACCTCGGCCCAGAGCAGGAGAAGGAACAGGGGGGTTTTTAGTC